TTTTTTGAAGGAGGTTGTTTAGAGTAAAAGTAGTGATTAAGCGCGTAAACATCAAAAAGATGACCGCCCCGTCGTTGTTTAACTTGTAACTCCCAATTAGGTTGGTCTCTATGTCATAATGTACTAGTCGGTCAAAGGAAGTTAAAAAGGGGTTAAAGTAGAGATAGAAAAGGTGCAAAGATTTGACAAGAATTGCCCATTGAAAAACTTTAAAGTAACCGATGTATTTTGGATTTGTTTGCAATTTTTGTATAAAAGCTAAATGGTTGATGTAAAAACGGCGTCTCTGGCAAAAGGGTTAAAAAGTTTAGTTGCTTTTCTGAAAAAGTTTTTAAAAAGCATTTTTTTATTTAAAAAATATTGTTTTTAAGTTTGTGAAATACAAGCAATTTTGAATTTTTGTGATAGTTGTTGGCAAATGAGCACTAAAAACAATTTTTGATCCAGTTGTATAGTTGTCAAAATTATTTTGACAGCAAATGAATAAGTGCAAACTAAAAAAACATACGGTTTAAAATTAACATATTTTTTAATAAAACTTTTTGCTGGCTTTATCGTTAGTAAATAGTCGTAAAGCTAAAATCAATATTTTTAAAACCTTTTTAAAAAACCAATTTCTTTTATGTTTCTTGATAATTTTGTAAATAATTGCTAAAAACTAAAATAAATAAACACAAAACTTAATGTTTATTTTAAAAAATAATAAAACATAATACAATTATGAAGTATAAAGTTGACCACAACAAAAAATAATTTGTGTGACCTTGATTAGTCGTATGATTTTGCAACTTAATTTTTTTGCTAATTTTAAAAATTAGCAATTTTATGTTTAGCATTGAACTGATTAGTTTTTTAATTTTATAAAAAACATGAAATGTTGTAAATATTGAGCAAACACATCGTTAATTTTACTATTTTTACCAAAAAACAACAACACTTACTATTTTTTCAATGCCAGAAATGCAACTAAACATGCATTGCAAAATTGTAAAACTTTTAGTTTAAAAAATGGTTTATAAACTTGGTAAAACGACAATGAAAAATCATCTTTTTACTATTCAAATTGATTTTACAAAAAAAACTTAAAAATTTAAAAATTAATAATGAAGTGTAAGTCTAGTGAACAATATTTTTGTTGTCCAATGATTTTACCTCTTTTTCTCGACCCTTTTTAGTGGCCGTCATTGCCGTTTTTCTCGTTTTTGCTTTGTCCGTTGAGACTGAGGCCAAGCCCGGTAGTAACCGGCCCGACATTAAAAAGAACATTCATAAAGCCATTCTGCCGTTCCTCAACAAGCTGGAAAAAGAACTAGAAAAAATAAACTCGCCACAAGCAAAACAGGCCGCCAAGGACGCCATTCATAAGGACTTGCTTGTGCTGAAGGGAAAGTTGAGCCAGGAAAACTTTGATAAGTTTGAAAAGGAAATTTTCTCTATTATTGACAATCCAAAGAACTTCCACTTTCCCACCCTCAAGCCAGCCGCCCAGTAAAATGAAGTTTTAACCTTTTCAACTTTAACTTATTTTTTATTGTGATTGCCTATTTCAAACTTTTAGCTTCTTTACGGTGTCAGTAATTAGTAATACTTTCAAAATAAAACCACAGATTGATCAATAACCATTATAACCATTTCGGTATTGCAAGAGAAAAAAAGTCAGCAGCAGTTGATGAAGCTAAAAGTAGCTGGTTTTTGTTTTTATTGAGACTCAGATTAAAATGGTCAATAATGTCGTTGTTGTNTGATGACGTAGCCAGTCTTGCGACCGTCGGCGCTGTGGCAGGTGAAGGGGGAACTGGTGTCATCGTAGGCGTAGGAATAGGCGTCCGGGCATGACTGCTTGAAGATGGCTGGGTAGTTGACCTTCCAGTCGCGGGACTTGCAAGTCTCGGGCTTGTTGTGCGCTCCTCGGCAACAGTACTCGTCGGTGTTGAACTGCATGCAGGCACTGCGGCAAGCGACTGTCGCTCCGGCGGAGTTCTTCTGCGCCAGCTCGTTGGGGCAGTGGGCGTTAATGTCGGCCTTGCAGCCGGCGTTGTTGCAGTCGTACTTGCCGCCGCCCACTCGCTTGTAGGTGCCGTCAATGGGGAAGATGGCCAGCGGCAGGTTGTAGCCGTCGACGAGGGAAACATCGTAGTAGTCCTGTCCCTGCCAGCCGTCCAGGGTGAACTCGGCCAGGGAGACCGGGGGAACGCCACCGGCGCCGGAGCACTGGATCTTGTTGCCTGGAGAACAAAAAGTAAAAAATTAAAACCCATTTTCATCATTTGTTTGATTGTTGTGTGCTGTGCTCTTACCGCAATCACCGGTCTCGCAGTGGCCGGCGCCGTTGCAGTTGGTTCGCGCCCAGACTCGACCTGCCCATCCGTCGGGCACTCTGAAAGTCGTCGTGTGGTACTTCTCCAGCGCGAATCCGCCACCTTCCGGCAAGGCCTTGTTGGGGTTGTTCAGCAGACCGGGCCACACTGTGAAGGGGCAG